CATTTAAATCCCGGTTACCCGCAGGTAAGCAAAAATGTTGCAATAAACTTCCTCATAAAATGAAAGCCTTCAACATAAACACTGTCATAATGATTACCATAATTATGTAAWATTTATTTATATTTTTTCAACACATACATATGTGGCTGTAGTGTGTGTGTAATTAAAGAAACGCCTCCAACTGACACCTGTCGGCCGCCAGCTGTTGACTGTTGACTCCAGGCACGCTTAAGCCTTTTGATCATACAATCCACAATCTGTAGGCTGTACTGCTCGTCTCGATGACGAAGAAAAATAATACTTGCCACGCGACAGTAAATACATATATATACTCGGACAAACGAATATTTGATATTTGCCCTCCTCTGACAGCAACTCACAGGCGGAAGCGTGCAGAAAACCCCCTGTATGAAATTATTATTTATAAATTTCTCAGAATTAGCTTTATAATAATATAACAGGTAAATTGAAAAGTCCCTGGCCTGCCATAAAAAACACATTTTTTTTCACAATTCGTTTTTTTTTCAATATGAGTTCCCTTCAAGGGTGACACACKGATTATAGCGACCGTTCAACTTTTCGATACCATTTTTTGGTACGATTTGTCTTTGGCTTCAAAATAGGCCTCAGTTTCAGCGATCAACCGTTCATTCGACGAAAATTTATTCCCAACCAGCATTCTTTTGAGTTCTCGGAAGAGGAAATAGTCGCTTGTTGTCAGATCTGGAGAATACGGTTGATGTGAAAGCAATGCCGAGTCCAATTCGAGGATTTTTGCTATTTTGAAGGTTAGCGTCAACTAAAAATCATATGGATTAAAATCTAGTAGCGCCATTAATGTGTCAGGCTGGGTCTTTTCAATTTGTCTGTTAAATTCCCACAGACGAAAGCTGGTATGAAATCCAGAAATCCAAACTATACTATGGATTTTATATATTATGGGAGTACATGTATTATCGTCCTCTCTAATATGTATTATATTATGTTATATCCAAATATAAGATAGAGATTTATGAAATCTAGAATTTATAACAGAACTTTTTTCTTTGTACTTGGAAGAAATCAGAACCAACCCACTCAGATTATCCTGAAATATTTATAAACACCGAATAATCGTATGTACTATATATTTGCACCTACATATATCAAGTTTTAACAAAAGACAAAGAAATTTTCTGTTCAACGTTAATCGCTTTTGTCTAAGTAAATCAAAGCGTTCGGGGTCAATTGTGACGTGAGCAAATCGGCTAAGTACCGTAACTAAAGCTTTTAATCGCATTATTTCTAACGGAACGAAACCACCCCCAAATAATAAATGACTAACCTTATACTATGTGTATTAAGACAATGATTAAACGAAAAGGTGAAAAGTTCGCGAAATAGAAAATATATTTCCTTCGGACCCAGCTTACTTTAGATTTCGTTATATTTAGGATTGATTCAAAAATAGATGGATCTCAGTTGCACATATATTTGTTCTTTGTGTTACCCAAATCTTCTTCAAGTACATCATCTTATAGATCGTCGAAACGTTTTGAGCTCGCCATAAATTTATTAAGCTGGCCAGCCACTTCGCTAGGTTCTCTAAAGGTGTGTCTACCGAGATATTTCGAACTCAGTCTGCCAAAAGCGACGCAACAGAGAAGAAAGTGACAAGATGATTCGCCATTCTTCATATAGCTTTTGTAAAGAGTGCCGTCAAAATATTTTATAGCATCTATTGGACAGTTTTCAGCCAGAACACTTAAAATTTCGGCGAGATTGACTTTGCYAAGTGCAAATAGGTCGAAGAACCTGTTACTATTGCTTGGGGTCAGACGGATCTTGCAGTCGCACAAATTGTTGTTAAGCAGCACTCACTGAAGATATATAGGTCCAGCGCTAGAACGCAAAAGAATTTCGGAAAACCGACTCGCTTCCAATCAGACCAAAGCTCCTACTAATTTTCATGTTTGTTAGAAGGATTTGATCATAGAGAAAGATCTTGTGATGAATCGTTATTAAAATTATTAAAAAAATTTAATCAAAATCGGTAGATCCGTCTCATATTTATATAACAGCTCGAAATAATACCATCGGGAGCTTGTCAACTATACGCTGTTAGGTAGGCTGAAACATGGTTCGTCCGCAATTTTTAGTAACACTTCTCATTCATTGTAGAAGCCGGGTTTGTTATGCATGCTTAGGGATGATCTTAGGAGTGAGTGCTTGGCGTGCAGATGATAGTCGTTGCAGTTGTAGATCCCGCATGGCCGGTTGTAGCACTTTGGTGTTGTTTGGCGACGTTACTGTAGCTTGTTGCCTGAACAGACTTCTGCAGTCGAGGTTCTTGTGACCGCGCAGGTTTTACCCATTTCCACTTGCCAGCAGTAAATCAACACTTGAGTATCATAAATAGTATTAATAGGTAAAATTTCTATGAAACAAGCAAAATGTAATGCCGAAGTGTGCAACAATTTTGCAATTATGCTGCGCCACTATACTCAAGGAAAAAGTTTAATAATAGGCTCATTACTAACGGAAGTCAATCACCAGAGTCAATGGCAATCGACAGGTGCCAAGCAGCGAATTCGAAGCAAACCTGCAGGCGCCACAGCCATGAAGCTGAATGAATACTCAAACCTTCAGCGTTGCGCTCTGGTCATTCCCTTTCATTAATTTCAGCAGACAGCGGGACCCGCGCGGCACTTCGGCAGTCAAGTGCTAAATTCACTATTAAAATTTTATGGACGTCAAGTGATTTTACCGTTTTGTTGCAGCTACTGTTATCTGCTTTTGTTGATTTTATTACCGAAAAGCGAAAAAGCATTTAAATATGCAGAAAAAGCCACGAACATGAATTACCAAGTGAGTAAAATACAAGCGCAAAGGAAAATCGGAAAATTCCGTAAGATCAAAGGCATTTATTTTTACGCTTTTCACTTTTGTTTTTTGAACCTCGAGACATGAATGCATTTGACTTTGCGAAATATACAAGATTTTGCCAACATATGGTCTGGTTAAACTCCATATTTCATTAGTTAGAGCATGCCTWGCAAAGACCCCTCTTTCCTTCCCAAAATCTCTCTTGGCAGTCTTCACTTTTTCTAAATTTAGAACTTGAACTGGACTATTGTCCCTTTACTACCAAGTTCGTAGGTCCTGTACCTACAAATTAGCGTTAATAGTTTATCCAAATATTCTCGAAAGATTTCCACGTACATACATAAATTCCCTACATCTAGAGCTGAAAACTATTTAGATACCGAAATAGTGAAAGTATTAAAAGATTTTGTTAAAATTCAAATTAAACTTTTTAATGTTTCATCAGCTTCAGGTTTCAGCCTTCAGAAACCTTTCGGGTATGCGTGAGCAGACCAATGCCTATCTCTTGAGAAAATGAATTTTAAAGCCCTATCTGCTGAAGAAACTAGTTCAACTATACATCGTCTGATTAGTCTATTATTATTACCTTAACCTGGATACCATACTTTGGATAAATGGAGTTGCTTAACGAATGCCACGGTGAACATGCTTAACAAAATATTTTCTAGTAAACAGATTTTTGGAATAATTATGTCTATATATAGTAGCACAGCTCGATTTATAGGGAGCAAAAAAAAATAAAAACTGAAAAATCGCGAGAAATATTCTTCCGATCATTCTGAGCTACTTTGCCTGAGAGATTATGGGTATAAAACCAGTTTCGGACACACGGTGAGGCTAAATTTTTTGTTGGACGTTCTTTTTCAAGCTGTATGGAGGAAGGCGAGGTGGAATCATCTTGTCGCTTTCTACTCTATTGTCCAACTTTTGCCAGACTGAGATATCTCAGTATACATACATTCTGCGATCCTATCGAAGTGGCCTTAACAGATTATAGTAATCTCAATTCGCTTCGTCGATATATGAGGATCGGATGCTCCATTTTTAGGATTTCATGCGCAATACAAAGGACGATCTGTCCAAGTGAAATGCATCGTTTAAGATCAATCGTACGACTTAACCTATGGTATTATAGGGAACAGTGGACTGACATAAAAATATATTAGGTGACTCAATCTCTTAGACAATAACTAACCAACACGGCATTTTAAGGTAAATACTTAAGTCTCGCGACTCTAGTGAGGTAATTTCGAGCCAAGTCTTATCAATTTAACTTATACTACTTGTAAACTTTGACTTAAATAAAATACTAAGTGAGGCCGACCTTTTTAAACTCAGTTTAAAACAACGTACCCATTTTCTCCSAATTCTGCTATAAAGCAGTTTCGATGGCTCCCAAAGACCAATCGATAATACAATCTGAGTATCAATTAGAAACAGATCGAAGAATAAGAAATTGTACCATATTTTGGAAATAACCTTAACTATGTCTCAATCTAGATTGACGAGAGATCGCCCACAAAGTTAATAATTCAACCCAAGGTCACTCGGCTGTAGAGCTGCCGTTAGACTACTAAGTGTGTGCGCTTGTGCTCTAGAAATCAATGACTAATTCAGTTACCGCATTACATACATATTAACCTAAAAAAACTTAATTAAATAAAATCAAAGCGCATTACTTCTGTAATCACACCAAATGTGAAGAGTCCAACGACAACTACGGAGCAGCCTTCAATCGACCAAAAGCGTTTATTTATTTAGCGTTAATTGAAAGCTCAGCTCACAACTAATTTGCACCGAATTTGAGTGAATGCAACAAAAAATAGATTGTAATTGCATAATTTTTTTCGAAACATATAATTTCGAAATTAATTGTGCCTCTAAATGGCAATAGCCACAAACACGACTATCGGTTAGACGCTCATAAAAGTCTAGCATGGGTACGTGGGTAAGTTCGTAAGACTTGATATGCTTTACATAGAGTGCTCATGCAATTAGCCAAAATTGTCATTGCAACTGTCAAAGCAAATGACATACATTTGACTTTACAAACTCTGCATGCCGTTATTTTACTCTACTTCCATATACGAGTGCGTCTCTCACCTCTCTTATCTTCTTTATTCGTTCCTTTTCAGGTGACATCGATGACTGCATCGTAACACCGACCGTGCAAGGACAATTTACCCCACTGCCTGAGGCGCTCTGCGATGTCATTATGGACCTTACCGCAGAGGGACACTCGGCCACCATCGAGAATGTGCGCATCAAGCTGAGCATACGATTTCCGCATATGACACCGCCAGCCACCGAAGTTATCTACGATACGCTGGCACAATTGATGCAGGAACAGAAGATATATCAAACCGCAAAGGGTTACTTCATCTTCACACCGGAGTAAGTATTTGAGACATGTGCCCAGATCAGTTCAGAAAAGATCATAGCGTAGATTAATCGACTGGTTTTATAAATAAAGTATTCACTGAGCTGAATTWGCATTTACTATTTGTTATCTCCAGAAGACACCAAAATACAAGTACACAGGGAGGATAGAAAGGGACACATGTAATACGATCCGATACGATATCCAAATTTGAGGTTAAAGCCTGAGAAAACGAGTTAACGGGCCAAAAAATATTTAGAATATTCTTTCGCACCATCTTCCAGAAGAGAAGATCGAACAGTTCGTCAACTTCGGTTAATGACAAATATAACACCAACTTACAAGCTTTGCTTGGAGTTTCAATTAGATACGATCCGACATGCCTGAACAACATACACTCTCCAGAAAGGAAACTCGAAAGAATCCTCAACTTCTACGTTAGATAAGTAGGCCACCAATCATAAAGTCGGAGAGAAACTCTTCTTTTCCTCTTGAGTTCAACAAAGATAGAACCTTTGCTTTAAAGTTGSCCGCCTACCTTAAGAAGTCTGTGCAAATCAGATGATTGAATGCAAAAGAGTTCCTAAGATAAATAATCAATATAGATCAATGTAGGCCACAATATATATATTGCTATTAAGTCACAAGGTTCTGAAGCCGTATAAGTGTATTGTTGAAGAATACAGAAGCAACATTAAAGTCAATAGATTCCAACAATCCCATTCGTTAAAAAAAAACTATTGAAAAGCATCGATAGGTTACTCGGTTTCAGAACTTGTACGGTCATGGCAAATATTGAATGAAAAATTAGTCGAGATCTTGTAAAGTACTGTAGATTTTGAGATGACGAGATTAGAGCGACAGACCTAAACTCCAAATAATAGACCTGTTTCTAAGGTAACCCACTAATACCAGATTTCACAATTTACCCAATTGCTTTCACATCACTTACGACAGTCTTTTCGTCGCTGATACTTTTGAAGTCGCCTACAATAATTAATGCTTGTAGCCATTGGAATCAAGGATAAAWCTTTCTCAGCTGAAAGCTAATCCTCAATTTAATCCCGTATGTTTTCGTTGATCCGTAAGTTGGATAGTGTCTTTTACGAGTTTAAGTGAAGAATGTTCGCAAATTATTGGAAAAAAAATTATAAAAATTCAAATAAGGACGAGTATAAGAGAAGGTCTTCCGAATTCGAAAAAGTTTTTAAACAAGATTAACGACTTAGAAAAGATTTCCAGATCGTTAAAAATAACTTGAAATTTCAAACAAAACTTTAACCAACAATTAATAAAGAGATCCAAAATTCAAAAACCCAAATTCATGATTAGTCAAAAATTTGTTTATCAATAAAAATGTCATCTCTAATATCCCTGAGTTCACTAAATTTAATTCCTCCAATCTCTCAATCAGACGTCGCCGCAGCCGTTCGAGACCGCGTGCCATGCGCAATGGTTATCAGGATTTTGAAGAAACCGATGAAATACCTCAGGAGGCGCGCACAATGCTCATGACCAATGCGGAAGCGCTTCACTCATTATACGGTGAAATCTCCACMGAACGCGATGGCGATCTAACGCATCAATGCATACAAACCAATTTGGCCGATGTCATTTGCGGCGGTAAGCGAACTAGATGGACTGATMATTTTWAKAWARCRTAAACGAATAATATTTACATTTCAGGTAATCCAAATGACAAAATACTTTATCCGCGCGCCGCCAAAAGACGCAGCGCCTCATTCCCAACACCGCGCAGCCTGGAGAGGCGGCATAGTCTGCGTTTATTCGGTTCMTCAAAGCGACTGCAGCGTTGCGCGTCAACACGAAGCCTCTCAAAGACATACGCACAAACTTTAGCCACRGACAGTAGCAGCTCGGAGTACCAAAGCACAGATTCTTCGTCACCAAGTAAGTTGRGTTGCAAGTGTGAGGTTTTTCGAAATTATGATTGTATAATAGTCATTGGATAAGAATTTGGAGGATTTTAAAAAATATGCCTATCAGTCATTATCAAGTAACGGTGTGGGCCGCTTTCTAAATAGTCGGGTCTACTTGCGTGTCTCGAATACGGATATATGTTCGTTTTTCTGAACTTCAATCAGAAAGGGGATCTAGAGAATTCGCCGGAACCATAAATCGTAATTYAAAAAGAAAGATCCAGATACCATCTATGTAGTCACAAACGACAACAGACCAGATAAAAAGGAAAGATTGGATATSGTTAAACTGACAACCGATCGGCTAAAAGTTTTTAGAATCCAATTGACACTGATTTTACTCTCCGTATAATTTTGAGAAATGTTCCAATGAGTCGACAGTCTTGGAATCCGTTATCGTTAGGCAGGATCGATTGCCTTTCCAGCGGTACATAAATGACTTCTTATAATGACGAATAGAAGCACTGGTAATGTGAAGATCGCCAAGAAATTTAAAGCCTTCGATAAGATTAGCGCAGGAAATCTACTGTTGTGAATTCCACTACTTGAGCCCTGCATCGAGGACGTCGATATCTTTTTTATATATTATTTCAAAATTTCTTTAATCAAAACTCCTTCTTTCCCACTTTTTAGAAAAGGGATCTTTGCTATCGCGCCTCTTCCGACGTAGTGGACGCGCCAAACAACGTCAAATCGAAACATATTCAGCCCAGTTCCCGCCTGCCGAGTGGTTTAATTCTCGTGCGGTGCATTTACACAGTGTAGGCACGCAAACAGCCGATCACGTAAGTTATCAGCTCAAGCTCTCATATGCCGATCAGCACACTTATATTTCTWCTTTGACTTTTCTGCCACTTTAGGACATGCCGGTGGCGCATACGCTCTCCAATTCCACATTCTACGATGGTTCGGAGTTGAGTCAACGTTCACTGACAYTGCCACGCCGACATCGACGACACATGTCCAGCGACTCGACCTTCCTTATATCGTCGCGCGATTGTTCGCCCATACGCCGACGTTCGCCCGTCTACTGCAGCAGTTCACTGCCACGTTCCACACAATCGATACCGGCTACAGCTAGCGGTACAACGAACATGACCATCGCACCGACGTCAGCGACCAAAACGAATCACTCCACCGCGACGCTGTCACGTCTCTCGGCGCCAAATCATACAACAACAGCAAGTGCTGTTGCCGCCGCCGTTGCAGCGAACGCACAGAAATCATCCTCAAAGAGTGTTATCGGCAAGCATATATTCGAACAGTCGCCATCGCGTACCAGCGGTACCCTTAAAGCRTCGGCGACGAAACGACAGTCGGATAATATAATAATTAACGGTTACGCCAGCAATTTGGATAGCGGTAAGGTGAGCTATCGCAGCGTACAAAGCGGTCCGTCTAGTTTGGAGTCGGGCAAAGCCTCGTCCATGCTTACCTCGGGACCGTCAAGTATCGACAGCGGTAAGGTGTCATTCAGCAAAACCAGTGGTCATTCTAGTCTTGACTCGCAGTGTTCGACCAATACGGCGGTGGTGCAACCAAGTCCAGCCCGATCGATACTAGTATTGAATGGTTCACCGCGCGGCACACCGCGTCATCAGGCAATGCGTGCACGCGCCGCCGAACAGACGCAACGGCAACGTGCCTCGACGCCATCGCGCATACTCGAGGAAATCACCAATCAACAAAAGCCGGCGCCAGGCCGCACCACCAGCAACACCGGCGGACAATCCTATTATAACGGCATACCGAATTCGAATTCGAACAACTCGATCACACTGCAGGTGACCACTTCCAATGGCAGTCAAAGTAGCATACCAAGCACGAAGATTTATGTGCAGAACTCACCAGCGCGTAGCGTTATAACGTTGGAGAATGGCAAACTGATGGAGAATTCGAATGTCTATATCATCAATAATGAGACGACGACCAATGAGAAGGGCGAGATCATTAAGAAGACGCTCTCGAAGCAGGAAACCGCGCCAATGCGAAGTCAGCAGCAACAAAAGGAGCAACAGAAACGAAATTACGCACAGACGCATGCGCAAACGCACAACCAAACAAAGTCAATGCAACAGCAGCAGAATCAGCAACAACAACAGCAGCAATCAGCAGTTATACAACAAATTTACAAAGACAATTCGATTAGCGAGAACGAGGCGAACTCCGAAACTTGCGACTCCATTTCGTTTATCAGCGAAACATCACCCGACAATTTGGATACGCTCAGCTCCACGGAGGTGATTGACAACTCGAAATTCACGAAGAATATCAACAACGACGCCACCATGAATAACAGCCGTAAGCTCTGCTTACAACTGCCGCAACACGGCTCCAGCAATATTGTCTACAAAAACAATGTGCTGAAAAACGAATCGAATCCGAACTCGCCCAGCGGCGAGAAGACGCTCGCAATGGCGGCACTCGCAGCCAAACAAGATTTCGAAATCGCCGGTTCAGTTGGCAATTTACGCTTCTACGAGAAGAAYACGAAGGACACAACGCACGCGAAATTAATGAACTCGCATTGTGATTTGAAGAATCTCAATCGTTACGAGTCTTCGGGTAATCTGCAGAAGACCGGCAATATACTGCAATCGAATCCAGCCATCAATAGTGACGATCTGGCRCATATATTGCAGAAGAATATAATTGCCGTTGGCAGCGAGCCGAATTTAGCTTTAAAGGACAATAACTGCAGCAACGCGAGTGACAAGTCCGTCGAGAAGGAGGCGCTCGATCGGCGCTTCAGCTTATCGAAAGACCCCAACGGTCCGGTCAGCGCCACAGCRACCGGCAATGAAGACCTCTACAACTTCCCCAGTCTAACGGATTTGTCCTTTAATTTTACCTCATTGGCGGCGCAGAAAATTCTACAGGGTGTCAGCCTGAACAGCATCGATACGTTGGTGGAGCTGAACATGGCGGCTGCCRCTGCGGCGAACAAGGAGAAACAACAGAATAATCAACCYACGCCGGTGCGTACCGACTATGGCATGGTGTAGCRGCTTGATTGATAGGCAACAAWCGGARTACAATGAGACGCTTGCGTTGACGCGTCGAAATGAGCATAGGTCAATTGAGTGGGGAGAAGAGTGTGATGTCGGTGGCTTTTTAGGGGGCAATGCRGAAGACACGCATGGTCAGTGGAATGGCACACAACTTCAACTAACTAAATACTACTAATAATTACTACTAAAAACAAGAATTGAAACCGAGCAAAGGTATTTTCTACCCGCATTTTAGAAAACCGAAACGGAACCGGAATAGACACTGTTCTTAGTCCTCCAGTAAATTGTTCCAATACCGTAGGTAAAGTGACGCTTTTTGAGTTAGTTTGTGCGACCTCTCAAATTTTCTTGAAAAAAAACTTCTTAACCTCAAAAAATTATTTCTCCCTTCTTGTAAAAATCTTAACCTCAAAAAAATKTATAAGTTTTCAAGTCAGACATGAATATTTTGTTTGAATTTATTAAATATTGAGAGGTAATTTCTCGTTCCAAAAACAGTCACGGCAAAGTTACCAAAACAAACCCAAGTTTATATCCGCTCAAGAATATACCCTCAAGCTAAGCATCCTAATAAAAATTTCAATAATTTTTCGACACAATCAGACTAATATTCTGCAAATTTTTTACAGCCTTTAACCCAGCTTTGCTTCTATATGGTTCTTTATTAAAGAATAACTGCTGGTACCATTAGCACCCGAAAATATAAGTATTGTCGGGCATAATATCGGACCCGAAGATGACCACGCTTGGGGTTCAAATAAGTCGATCTGCATTCTCAGCTCTTTAAACCATATTTATACGGCGATCTTTGCTTGTAAAGCAGATCGCTAATTAGAAATTTCATCGGCACTAGCAAAAATGCTAGAAAGAACGAAAACCTGTTATTCAATAAGTCGAGATTTAGGTGTACACATATATTTAACGACTTGGCAGTATATGTTATCTGAGAACAGAAATGTTTTTATCACAGAAAAGCCTGATTTTGTTTAGGTTAAGCTCAAAGCCCCTGAGACGTTAAAGATGGTAGTTTAGCTAGTGAGCTACTGGCAGAAGGAAACAAAGTTGAGTGCAACAAAATACTCTGAGAAGTCGCAAAGAGTGGAAGCTTCTGTTCTCCAGCCCGTTATGGATTCTGTGTGGGACAATGATTGCATTCAGAAAACCACGTCCYTCTTGCGAATATCTTACTTACATACAAATATGGTGATAGTCAGGCACATCACTACAGGAAGACCTTGTTACAAGTTCCTAAAATAATATTAGATTACTTTTTGAACGGTGTTCGACCAGTTTTTAAACATTTCTTCATATCATTTTTTTTTAATATAATATTTTTTTTTTTGCAAAAAAGGATTCTGATAAAAGTTCTGCCAGTTAGTTTTGCCACTCTCTCAGAATTTGTCACTTTACCAAAAATGAAAATGAAAAAATATATATAAAAAAATATTTGAAATCAATAGAATAATGCAATTATTACGATTTAAAACATCATCAAAAGTTGTTCGAAAAAATTTCTCTAAACAACTATGGTCTATTACAAGCGATACTCTCTAATATTCCTCCAAAATGTGTACTCGCCAACAACGTCGATGAATAGTAAACTTTAGACTGTTTGTAACGGATAACAATACTGAGCACTAACCAAATAGATACATACATACATATATGTTAGATAAACAACAAAAAAAAAGAAATACAAATACACAATTGTAGTCGTTTTTGTAGTCCTTTGTAGCTGAACGAACAAACGATATACCAATTACTATAATTAACCAGTTACCGGAATTTACAAATGTTCGAGATTTTTTTAGTCCGCAGTTGCTACTATAATAATAGAATTGAGTACTTTTAGTGCTTTCTGTGTGTGTGAAATAAAATAATTTTTTTGAATAAATTTTTTTGCAATTAAATTAACCAAAAATTATGAAGTTTTTAAATTTTCAATATTTATGTACACCAAAAAATTAAATCTGCTAACTACTTGAAAATAATGTATTACATGGTTTAAGTTGTATTAAATTCTCTAAATAATATTTTTCTGCTTTAATTTCGATATCTAAATTTTTATTTCCGAAAATGTTCAACATATATGTAGTGGCTAAAAAAAATCTATTCGATTTTACGAATTCTTAATTCGAAATTTAAAAATAATTTGATTTTTTTAATTTTAAAAACTTTTAAGATTCGATATCGAAAAAATTTTCAATTTCGAAGTTATTGTACCAGATGAAGTTATATTATTTACAAAACTTAAAATATAGTAAGAGAATTATAATTTTTGAAATTATCAAAATACTTAGTTTCAAAAAATTCTATTCGATATCGAAAAAATTTATAATATTTTCGAACCGATATCACAAATTTTTTAGTGTCGAAGTTATATAAAATGTGTTTCATAATTGAATACATAATGCTTCTCGACTCCATATTGAAAAATTTAAAAACGTCGAAGTTATTGTATCAAATGAAACCAAATTATTTTGGAAATTTAAAATATAATTAGAAACTTTTAATTTTTAAATTATAAAAAT